AAGTCGCCCTCGAACGGATAGAGGAACGAGCGCGTTAGCACGAAAAGACGTGGTGCAACGAACGGAGACTCTCGTGACGCCTACGCCATGAATTACGATGTTGATATGCCTCAATACTGTTCTCTCTGTCGGCGTCTATTAATACACTCGTCACACACTCGGGTTTCTTCAGGTCTACGACTCTGACGAGGAGCATTATGTACAGAGAAGGTTGTTCTGGCAGAACAGACCTCATCTCGGCGAAATTACGTCGTAATTCCATCCACGCAGTCCTCCTCCCGCGATTCTTTCAGCATATTAATGATACCTGAGATAGGTTTTTGCACGCTGTAAAAAGAAGAAAGATATGTATCGAATATACCTGATGTATGAACAAATGGAATATTTAAGAAAGCTAGAGAGAGCAATATGATTTTCTCCTCACTTAATAATTCGCACTAGATATTATATTTGTATTAAAATGCTTCTACATCAGCCCCAACGAGGAGCAAATTAGTATTGACATTTACCCTAAATGTGTTTATCGATTTTCTAAATATAACAATGCCTGTGTATATACGTAGAATGTAATGTTTATATTAAATGCTTGATAGACTTTGCTTGTCACATCAGGGACACTTTACACGCGTATAAAAATACATATTAGTATTTAATTGTAGCATTTTATACGATTACATGCATACACGAAAAGAACGGTTTTGTTGAAGTCTCTACAGATTCATTTAGATAAATAAATAATTTAACAGACAGATCTGAAAATAATTTTATCTAGACTATCAATGATTATGTAGAATGCTTAAACGATTAGAGTTAAAAATTTCTTGTCATCAATATTTATATATTCCACATATTTGATAATGCAACAAAATTATTTTCAGATCTGTAGCTACACTGAAATAAAATTTACTGAATTTCTACCGAATAGTACTAATAAACATATTATACATTTACTTAATTTATGTATAATTTAAATAAATGTTCATTTGCTGTAAATAAATATTTCGTTAGTACTATTCAAACAAATATTTAATAGAACTCAGTAAATTTTTTTCCAGCGTAGGTAAATTTTTAGACATTTCAGTATAACCGTTCTTTTTGTGTAGCAATAAATTATATTTATATATTAGGTGTTGGAATTAATTCGTAGCGTTTTACAAGTGATGGGAAGTACTTTCATTAATGTATTTTTTAATGCTCATGTGAAATAAATGACATTCTTTCATTAAAAAACGCTACGAATTAATTCCAACACCTAATAAAAATAGAATTATATATAGAGCCATAATAATTATATATAGTGGTAATGTTATGTTTCTCGCTAATATTTCTTTTTCCATCGAATAAAATAGTTGCAGCTGATCGAGGAGGGAAAAAAGTGCGATAATGAAATCAGTAGTCAGTCGTTCGCTTTTAACGGGACGTTCTTAACAGGATAGATGAGTTGCAAAATGAAAGCAGCGTGACCGATGGATAAATCGTGCGTTCTTTAATGCAGCGAGATGCAATAATAGTGTAGCGCAAGTAGCGTAAATTGGAAATGCGAAATCAGTCGTCTCTGCGAATTTCGCTTTCGCGATCGTCCGAGAACGAATTACGCGTTAAATTCTTGCGTGAATGTATCGAGTGCACGGCACGCTACGGTCGCGTCGTCGGGGAGAGTTTTCCGCGATGTCGGCCACGTCAGACCGTACACAACCCTCGGCCAATAGCTAAATATATATGAATATAAAATGCGCGGGGTCGGAGCATGCGTGCTCGGGGTCTACCTCAGGGACACGGCCTCGTCGAAACACTCTACGACACGCCATAGACAAGACAATCCTTCGGACGTAAGAGAATTGAAGGAGCAATCCAATCACGAGTCGCGAATCGCTTCTCTGCCTTTCGTTCGAAAAGATCTCAAGAGTTCTATACATAATTAATTCACAAAAGAAATCAAAATTGTATAATTTCTGCCGGAAGGCCAAATCTGATGAAGCATTACAGCAGTGTACTAAATACAATTTTTGAAGAAATTTCTTTTCTTCACTTATGACATTATTATGTTAGAAATATAATTATATATAGAACAAATATAGCATGTAATAATATATGATTTTGTTATATAAATCTAAACTTGGCCACGTTGGAACCCAAACAATTCGTGTTGTCGGAACGTGGCGCGACGAAAACACTTCAGCATCTAATATAACACGACGCGACATTGGAATTCGAAAAATTGTATAGTAAGAATATGAGATCATGTATTTTGCCGCCAACATCACTGTATTTCGCAATTCGACGCGAAAGGCAAATTTCAAACACGGAAAGAACGGTTTTGCTGAAGTACATAAAAATTAGGTCAGATACAGATCTACAAAAATAACTGTTGGACCACCAAAATAATTATGTAGGACGTTCAAGCATGATAGTATTGCAAAAATTTTGATATTTCAGTAATCTACTTGAGTGTCCAATATAAAGTTATAACAAATTTTATTTTCTTTTTTTATTGCTAGTTTAAAAAAAAGACTTATATGTTCGATTTATATCGTTCAATTTATTGTATATATTGTTTCAAAGATTATTCCTCGTTCAGTTTATTAAAATTAAAATTATTTATTATTGTTTTATTATTGTTAAAAACTATACTTTATTGTTATTTAAAATTATTTTTCTTAATAATCTCGTTTTTTTAAATGTTAATTATCTTTTACTCTTACTACAATTATTATTCTAATTTCAATGTGTCGCATCATTTTATTTTACACACACAATTATATTTCTAACATAATAATGTTAAAAGCAAAAGAAAAGGAAACCACGTCAAAATTAATGTAGTTTCAAACATAAATTATATCGCGAATAACAAGGTAAACATAACTCATTATCTTCGTACTAGACCAAACAAATCGTCGACGTTTGAACAGCATTTGTTCGATTTTAGCTTTTAGAACGAAACAATACGCTTCCTGAGACAAGATACAAGTTCGTACGCACATATCTAGCCCGATTTTGTCCCACTTCGTCATGGAAGGGCAGCTCGCCAGACGATATAAACGGATATTTGTGTCACAGATTGATCGCGGCATCATTAACCGATCATGCGACGGGTAATAAAACTCGCGGGGACGCGCGGTGAGATATGTGTCAAGTGTTACCCTTGAGCACTCGGTTATTGAATGTTATATTAGCTACGTTAGAGGATCTGCTCCATATTCTACGCCTCAATAGTCTCAATTACTGTCTATAACTAACGTGGCCGGACCCAGCCGCGTACGGACAGCTAGGTCGTCGAGGTATCGTCATATGATGCGTTTTATCAAGTTTCCGCAGATTTCTGCGAGTTTTGCGTCTCGGAAAAACATCACGCGCACGCAAACAAACATGGAAACAAATCACGGTTATTACTTTTCTCATAAAGATTTATCTTCTCGGGAACAATCGAGGTTCAGAGTGGTAAACATGTGTATGAATTTTATAACATAGAGACAAATGCAATTGACTAAGATGAAATATAAAAATAGTGCAATGTAATCTAATATTTCGATGTAATGGTGTACAATGTATTGTATCTTATCTATCTTTCGTCGTGTTTTTGACATACAGAGTAATATGTTACTTATTAAAAACTGAAATGAGTTTCCGTCTGACCGAAATTTAATAGGACGTTATTTTTCCTTATGTTTCTTGATTCTTCAAAGTGCAAACATTATTGAAAGTTTATCTGAATAAATTAATCGAAAAAATAGCTGCTGCAGCAATTTAGATGGTAAAATATGGCATAGCATTTTTAATTGGCTACAGTAGCCAATTTTTGGTTGGAGCAGCCAATTAAAAAATGCTATGCCATATTCAGTCAACCTTTTCTTTGTGTAATGCACACACTGTATATTAAAGCCATTATATACTGATTTAATCTGAGTGTACAAGTAAAATTCAAATATTTCGAATTATAATATACTATTCTGCATAATAAACAATATAATAAAATGCATTTCTAAGTAGAACACAAAATTATAAGATCAAGATATATATTAATATATATATATATATATATATATAAAACATCAAATCATTTTATAGGAAATCATGATTTTTCGATACACTTTTAATGATAATTTTGTGACGAATTCTTACATAACAATGATATTTAAGTGATGTAAAAAATAATGATTTTTTTCTTAAATGATTTCTATAACACTTGATCTTTTATGTTCTATTTGAGTTGAGGATTTTACAGTTTAATTTAAACACCGTTTATATTTAAACACACATTTTTATATCTCTTTCAATTTGTGTACAACGACATTAATGTACACTGAGTGCGTCCAATCAAATTTGCTATTAAATTTCCTCATCTATTGCGTTTCTTACAGACGTAAAAAGCTATAGACTGCGCATTCCTTAATCCTAAGTATTTTAAATTCCATTAGAAAAAAATTGAATATTGAATTATCATATAAGCATCTCTCTTTACTCGATACTTGAGAAAGAGAGAACGCGACATGATTCATCATTCAAGTTACCTCACTCTGTCTAAACCGATAATATCTATTCTTATTGCGTCAATGCAGATTCCAAGACGCAATTCGTTAAAATATCTTTTTTTCTTTTTAATCGATCTTCAGTCTCTTTAAGAAGAAATTCTTTTCGACGAGCGTTTATAGGCGTGTACACGAACCCGTTGCGAAACGCCCTGTATCTTTGGTCGAGAAATCTCTCGAGTTTCGTAACCTCGATTGTGCACGAATCGGCGACAGGTGTACGTGTACCGCACCAACACCTGGCCACCATCGACGTATCTCAGAACGAATTGCTGCCATTGAAGCGAGATTTCGACCGGTCTCCATGTCGCACCAATACGCACACGCGAGCAGCACATAAACACGCAGTACGCATGCATACAAGGATGCAACCGAATAGTGGTAGTCGTAAGTGTGTGTGTGTCCCGTTCTCGGTATATGCACGTCGGCGCCACCCGTCGGAACACAACGAGAGAACCTTTTTTCGCGGCGTTTTTCGTTGCTCTCAAGACGCGCAGTATCGCTCGCGACTTGCCCTTGATAGCAGATTGTCTGTTCGTGTGAAAGAATTCCGAGAGAGAGAGAGGGAAAGAAAGAAGCGTGTGCACGTAATCACATATAATTTATAAATCATAACCGATAGTTCTGCGGCAATGGCGATGACGAAGTTGAGTCTGGCACCGAAGACCACCAAGTACTTGATGTTCATTTTCAACCTGTTCTTTGTGGTAAGTAGTCGGTCGACGATCAGCTGTTTTGCGACTCGCGTTCCTTCTGAAACGATGAGCTGGCATGGACCTGCGATTGCGCTGCGATCTATCGAATCGTCGTATCGACGTAGCCTCAGCGCGATCGTTAGAAGCTGCGATTACGATCGACAGGCTGCAGTTTATCTGGAGCTTAACTGAAGCCTGATAAAAGCATAACTTATACAAAAATGCATCTGTAAAGCTGTAAAGTGAATATTAAATATTTCATCGAAATTTGATTTTTATCTCGCGTGCTAATTGAAACGGACTGAAATAGTTGCAGTAGAAAGTTAACTAAAAGTCTTCTTATCTATTCTTTTTTAAGACTATATAAAAAGGGACAAAGTCTAATTTCAGTAAAAAATTAATTTAGTTAAATTTTAACTCTATTTTATTTTATCTAAAATTTGTGACTTTCAATAAACGCATGTTTACAATAAAATGTTTTAATTAATTTAATTAACTAATTATTCGTAATTATTTAATATTCGTTTCTATATGCGTCTCGTGGACGTCAAAATTCAATAATTACATTGAAGTGAGCACATTGTTCAGCAGAATCCAGTTTTAAATGATGCGTAACGCGTTTTCAAATCACATTTTCAGCAAATATTTATTGAAATAGCAGAAATTGAAACGTGGAATTTAATTCGAATGTCATTAACAAATATGGAGTACAGTGAACGCGTATTTGTGGAGTATACATATATTTTATTTGTAAATGTTAAACTTTTAACATTTCACGCGATTGTTGAGTTATCTTGAACAGATATTTGAGCTTAGTATTTGATAAATATTGTCAATTGAAATTCTCAGGAAATCAAGTCTCGAATGTAATCTAAGTGGAAAGGCAACATTTACAATATGATTACTGAAGAGCGTTTTGACATGGTCATAGAACGCGTTTAGAGAATGCATTGAGTAATCAGTTTTTGTGGAAATTGAATGTAATTGAGATTTAGGAATATATCAATTTACAAACAATGTAACAATAGCTGTATTCTGATATACACTGCCAGTACACTGAAAATCTATAGTTCACGTTATATATACTATAAACTTTTAATATGGGATTACAATCAATGACAGTAACAGCGCAATTGTCATAAAATTTTCTATAGAATGAGACAAGAATTAAAAAATTTTTTAATTTTAGTAATCTACTAACTTATGAATTAATCCAACCGTTCATGTTTAATATTAAGTAATAAGCATCACGATTAAAATAATTTTATTATTAACAGTAAGTTCGTGTCTGGAAATATATCATTTATACATATGCGTAGAAACCATAGTTTGAATAAGATAGACAATTCATTGTTTTTATTCAGAATAATCGAAATGCACGCTGCGTTATCAGTTTTATAAGTAGACCCATTATTAATTTTCTTACACCGCATATTAATTTTTTATTAAGTTTTATTTGAATTAATATTTCTTCATGATTATAGTTTTGACGCAATTATTGATTTTATTGATTATGTAATTTCACAAGAGTATTGTAGAATTATTAAATTGCTAGTACTGTTAATACAATTAATTAAAATGTGTGTGTGTGTGTCATTTTTACGTTTTTATATTGAAGTGTATGAGTGTATCTACGTATAAATAATTAGATATTGATATTATTTAAGATAAAGAAAAAAAAAAATTCGCTGCGGACAGGATTCGAACCTGTGCGGGTAGAACCCAATGGATTTCAAGTCCATCTCCTTAACCGCTCGGACACCGCAGCTGTTGGCAACTCGCTGTTATTTGTACGATACACTATACGCGGATGTGAAACTCGAAAATGTTGACGTTATCAAAGAAATAAACTTACGTATCTTTTTCAAATACATTAGTATGCTAATTACATACCACATTAATTAGATAATTACATTGTTTACGCAATATTGTTTATCGTCATGAAATTATTATGTAATTGTCGATTTTTTTAACATGATCGACTTCATTGCGAATTGCATTTTCGATCTTTTTATCTATGGAAATATATCATGAATCGATGAATTATGTTTAGATTACAGGAATAGTGTTGCTATCCATCGGAGTGATCATCCATGGGGTATATCATCAGTATCAACATTTTCTTGATAACAGATTCTTCTCCGTACCTTCTCTTCTCGTAGCAGTGGGCTCCATCATTTTTATCATCGCTTTTTTCGGATGCTGCGGAGCTGTTCGCGAAAGTTATTGCATGGTTATAACGGTAAGACGAATATGTAATTCATGAATCGAACATTTTTTTCTTATTAAATATACACACTTCGATTAAGCTTCTGCTTTATAAATAAGTAAATAATTTACTTTTTATCCACGCATTAAATTACATACACTCTTATTAAATTATTAATTTATTGCTGAATGATTTAAAAATCGCATATATACTTCAGAATCTTTTTCAATAAAGATATCTCATCGTTACGTCATATGCAATTAGACCGTTTATTACTGTGATAGAGTTATAGTATGTATTTTAACGTTTAATTAGCAAATAATAATTAACTGGCTAAATTAATAGTAATAATGATAATAAGTTATCCAATAATCAAATTATCTATACCGGCTGGAAGTCAATTCGTGAAATTATTAGCAAATTGGCATTACTTAATTCTGTTTGCATTAAGCTTGAGTTTTATCGATAAAGCCTGTAGATATAATTTGACAATTGATTGACAGAAACCAAACAGAATCTGTCAGATCTGCTGCTTCTAATATGTCGCTAATCTGCGTCAAATTGTACAAGTATGACAAACTATTGAATTTCTGTTATTAATCTGCTATATTTTATGAAAATATTCATGTTAGCGTTCAGCATTGTATGTGCCAGATCCTGTATATAAAAAGATCATTTTGCTGGATCTAAAAAGTTAGAGGTAGATCTGAAAATAATTTTATTGGACTATTAAAATAATTATGTAGGTTGCTCAAGCTGTGGTTGCTAGAATGTCAAAACTTCTTACAGTATTGCTTGACATGCTTGAGTTTCCTACATAATTATTTTGATAATCCAATAAAATTATTTTCAAATCTATAGTCATCAAAATTTCAACAAAATTATTCTTTCCGAGTAATCTTCTTATTTGTCATAAATTTTGCAGAATCTATTTTCGACGGACTTGGCTGTTTGAGAATCTATCGCAGATGCATTGCGTCTTGTCTTTTCTACATATACGCCTTTTACAATCGTGAGGAACCATCTGTTTCACAATCGTAAATGATTTACGTCTCATTCGATCGTACCTGGCGAAGCTCGCCAGGTGATTGCGCTTCCGATTGAGAGCGCGCCACCGACGAGGATCAATCGCGACGTACTATGAGTAATAAAGCGGATTATTATCGTGACTCGAGAACATTCACGATGTTATTTTCAACGTTACTCTATTCGAATTAATTCGAGATTAGGATCTCGATATAGAGCGTCGGATGTTCGACTGACTTATTGTATACGAAACAAAAAGCTCGGCCAAGTCTGTCCATCTACGATATCGTCTCCCCCTCGTTTCCATAACGTAATGGATCATATATTTTGTACACGAAGTATGTAATTGACATGTGTGTGTCCTCCCCGTTCCACCTCCGTCGGCCCTTATTCCAAGAAAATTACTCTCCCTCGCACGCAGACGAGGGCGGACACGCTTCCGGTGTTGCTTTAAAAAAATTGACGCACGGTGGAACTATATAATAAATATTTCAAAGGCTTCGAGATTCAATTCTATCATTTCCTAGATATATTTTAAAAATATATCAGGACATATTTTCCAGTCAATATCTGATATCAAAAAATTGATATCTGCCGGAATATCCGTAACAATTATACAATGAGAAAAATGTCTGGTTAAAAATCGACGAACCAGAAGAATCTAATTGTATCAATCATCAGATTAGTAGATTTAAAAAAAAATTCTGATTTATCTCTTTTTTATTAGAATTGCAGTTAATCTAACATTTTTCTCAGTGTACGAAAGATAATTATCGAAATATAATTTGAATTCTTTTAACAATAGTCTCTTTGATCATTTACAGTTCTGCACGCTTCTGGCTGCAATTTTCTTGCTGGAGATCATAGGCGGCATAATGGGATATGTGATGAGAGCACAGGTTGCGTCGATTGCTCAGCAAAAGATGCTCGACACGATGCCCCGATACAACAATAGCCACGAGATCCAATTCGTCTGGGACAATCTACAACGAGACGTAACGCATAATTATATGCAATTATCGTATTTATATGTGCGACTACGTTATATCTTCAAAATAACGGCTCACGAATGGTTTTGTTTTTTTTTCCCTTTTTTCGACAATGGTTTTGTTAGAAGTTTATCACGCTTCGCATCGTGTCTTTCCCAGTCGTGGGAGCGACCCGGTCGTAGCGAGGATATCGCGGACGACAGGCGACAGGGATAATTTCAGTGCCCGGCTCTAATTCCTCGCGTGTATAATATATGTGTATGTTGGTAGCTGGCGTGCATGCCACGAAGGGGTAGCGTATATCGATTTTTCCTCAGCTTCCTTGACCACCCTTAACGATCTACAAAAAATGTATGCGCATATATTATATACATAATTCATATGCATTTATTATATAATTATATATATATATATATATGTATATATATATTATACGTATAATATATACACTAGAAAAAAATATTAAATTTTAATAAATATTTATTTAAATAATTCTAAATAAATATTTACTAAATAAACATATATTTCTTCTATCATTAATTTGATTCAATCCATCATCTTTTTATTTAGTAAATATTTATTGTAATATTTACTTTTAGTACTATTTAAAAAAATATGTATTAAGGTCAGTAATTTTTTTTTAGTGTAAACAATTGTATTATATTTGTATAACATATATTATTAATTGTATATAATTAACTATTATATAATAGATAAATCAATATACAAGAAACGTGTATATTATATACATATGTATGTCTATGTATACGAGCATATTAAATATGTGAAATATTGTATTAAATATGCACGAAATCATTACGACTCTACATTTCTGTTTTTGCGTGATATAGATACGTATTTCAACATGTTAACCGTGAAATTCGTTTTTTTTTACAGTTCCATTGTTGTGGCACAATCAATGTCACCGACTGGTTGACGAATACAACGAATCTGCCAGGTATTCCGATGTCGTGCTGTGATGATACGATAGGTGCTATCGGCATATCGAACTGCACCCTATCATCGAAAAGTCTGCATGAGGTTGGCTGCATAGACGCCTTCGCGAAATTTGCAGAGACACACGCAGCTAAGATAGCAGGTGTTGGAATAGGTCTTGGTATAATTCAGGTATCTACATCAGCATCATTATGTTAGATTTTTCGAACTTTACCTTATAGCGTTTCGAAGTCCGATAAATGAGTAATATTCACGTTTTATTAATACAAGAATGTAATAACTAATGTTGCAGCTGATAGGAATCCTCTTGTCGTCCTACTTGGCTAAATCGATCAAGAATTGTTACCAGACTATGTAGAGTGCCATGCGAACATCAAACGCACCGGAAGCAGCCTTCGTATGGACGATAACCGAGCAGGATTGCCATTAGGATGCGAAACTGCGTGCATTTGATAATAAATCTGATATATTGTACGAGAACACATTATTTGTCCTTGTATAGAAGGATGGTAAATTATTTTTGCTACATGCGATATTTCGCATCGCGTTATAAAGAAGCGTGTGTATTTTTAATAAAACATTTATATCGCTAAATGTTTGTGATTAAAATGCGTCGTTAATTCAATTCGCATTCTCTTATATTTACACAGGAATAAATTACACAGAATAAGTAATCGCATATTTTACAGGAAAATCTCTCTTTTTATCTGCAATAAATTTGTTTTTCATAAGCTTTTGCAACATGTGAATTTCAAACAAAAAAGATTGGAGCATGCGCGTATCCGACAGTCATCATGCACGCGCATCAAACTACACACGTGCTATTCACGCACACACAACATACCGAGAGACATGGAATTAACTTAATTGGCACATGAGTCATTTTTCTCGCGTTGTTTTGCTCACGTGTAAACTTACGTAGCAACAAACACGAGAATGAAGTCTCTTTCCACGCTCATTAATTTTAAAATTTTGATTCGGTATATTCGATTGCATTAAATGTTATATTTTATATATATGTGTATGTATTATGTTTATGTATATAAGAGATATATAAGTATACATTATATATGTATATATTTTTTTAAGTGGACGAGCTTAAGCCGTGGCTCCATGTCTAATTAAAACATTCCGTACAGATTCCGTTAAAAATATTGCATATATTGGGTCATCTAAAAAGTATCCGCGGTTTTTTGTCACTAGATGTGTATTGATGATCATATATCTAGTGACAAAGTACCGCGGATACTTTTACAATACATAATGTACGTATTCCCAGTAAACGCAAAGTTACGTGTAACGTGTGTTATATTACAGTTATATTGTTAAATGGGAAATCACAACTAACAGGTACGTTATTTGTAACTTTCGTGTTTACGCTGGGATATGAATATATACGACTTATATATATATATATATATATATATCGAAAATATTCGAATACTCATTGGTGCGTCATAATGCTACAGGTATATCGCTTTGTCATGTTTTTCTTCACGCTATCGCGAAAACTTCCTTATTTCCTCCCACTCTTCCTCTTCTCTCTCTCTCTCTTTCTTTCTCTGTCTCTCTTTCTTCTCTTCGTCAGACTCCGTGTACTAAACAAAAACCCCAACGCTAGCATTGGTATCGCACAAGCTGTTGCCGTGCGCGATCGTGCGTTTTCGCGACTCGTTATCGGCCAGTAGATAACGCTGCAGACCGACGCTTCAACGTTGGCATTGGCAATCGGTGTGTTAACTGGAAGTGTTGAAGGTGCGCGATACCGCTCGCTGTGCATCTGCGCCCGGAGGAGCCAACGCGAGGCAAAATGGCGGCCACGCACCTAGACGTCGGCCTCCGCTGTATCAAGTACCTGCTGTGCGCGGTCAACTCTCTCTTCGTGGTCTGTACTATAATGCGAACGGTTTATCGTCTCGCGGAATATAATCCCTTTCGTCAAATTCATCTCGCTCCACAATTCTCGCATTCTCGCGTCGGCTCCGTCTCGACTCTACGCGTTCGATCGAAACATAGGGGAAAAAATAAAAAAAATACTGTTGACTTTTCGTGACTCGAGGAATCTCGTTGAGAATTTCGAAAGACGCGAAATGAGACCGAGGACTCGTCACGAGGCAAGGCGTTGTCGCGTGAGTCCGTCGAAAGATATGTATATTGTTGGAGTACGAGATAACGTCCGTGCATTATGACTCTTCAAATACGCACAAAGTCATCGCCAATGACTCTGCGACGAATCGCACGTTATCGAGGTTCATCGGAAAATGTATTATTGCAACACAAGCCCGATTAGGTGCAATTGCGCGTCATCGTAGGCCAAGTGTCCTCACCTAGACCGTGCCGTACACTCATCCATAATTATCGATTGCTATTATATACCGACCGTATAGACGATGTCTGAACGTAAAACAGAAGGCTTCGATCTCTACGATGAAAAATGCTTTCAATTGCTAACATTTTGACAATCATCGAAGAGTCGTACACGCACTTGTCAAATTAAGATGAAATTTATCCATAAAGGATAAATCTTCTATCCTTAAAATTTTTTATCTATGTAATATACATTATAGTATGTATTTATATAATATATTATATATGTATAAATATATTATACATTATATACGTATATAATATATTTATAAATTTATAGAAAACGCAAATCGTTTATCGGTATTAATTATCACACGGTTATCAATTTTCTTCGAGATATTCGTCATCGATGTCTGCTAGCAGATATTCTGATAACGTGAATAACAATTAATATCGAGGTAAAGAATGACTCAAATATTCATTTTTCGCATATACGTGGCAAGTAGTTCGCATATCCTTGCGTTCGCAGCAAAATTTAAAAATGAATATTAATATTATTATAAGATTGCAGTTTAATAACATTTAGATTATTCGAAATTATAATAGCCCCATCGGTATCGATTAAACCGATTTTCGATATAAACAGACTGGAGATGACGTATCAGATTATTTATGTCATGCGTGGAAGTAAAAAAATATTTATAAAAAACGATGCCGTGTTGAAATAAAATAACGTGAATGATACGAAGGGCGAGTATCCCCTATCGATGTTTATTATGTCCTTTGTTCTGTCGGCTTACGAAGAAAGCGATGTGGGCCATGAAGTTCGAGTTTCATTGTTAGAGAGAAGCACTTTTGAACTGTGGTCGATATTACATAGACAAGGCTATGCACTGCTGAATTATTAGGAATGGATGAACCTGTACAGCTGTACAACCCGATTAGCACTGTACATATATCTCTTTCTCAATTAAACAAAGAAGTAATAATAAGAACAATGTTTCTTTCACGATGTTATTGCAAAGTGTACAGATAATAAATAGTGACTGAAGATTATTGCAAATAAATCAGTTTGATGCTCGTCAGAAATGTATTGCCTTGGCATATAGAAACACTTATAATTTATCAGACTTATGCAAATTTCTAGTCTCTTGCTGTATGTGAAAGAAAACATGCAAAAGGCAGTAATTTTCCAGCAAGACCTTGCCTCGACCTTGACATCCGAAATCTCGAATTGACGATATAAAAATCATTCTGTTGTTCTCAAACAGATAAAACGCAAACAGGAAAACATATTTCAAATATCCTACGTTGTAACACGTCTACCTATAGGATTTTGTGATCACTCTTATCGGTATAGATAAATTTATCTTCATAATCAATGATGTCGGGACATATATGATTTTAACAAAGTACTTTAGACTTTAGCATATGAGTATGGAACGAAAAATTTTAAAATCACGCAGATCGATGCAAGTGTAACGATTGATCGTAAAGAAGATCTTGTTTGATCTTTGTTTTCATTGTAGCCGACAGGAGCAAAAATAAATTCCACAATATATCGTTTATTGATAGATCATCGATATCTTATCCGAAGTATTTACTTAAAAATTAAGTTGTAAAAAAGCCGCTCTTATCTTAATACGTTATATATTTCTCAACAACCTGTGGAAATATATTTGGAACGATTTCATATTTTATTTTGGTTCTTCATTGAGAATAAGGTAAACTCACACGTATAAGGATCACAAGAGAGCGGCTTATCGTAGGAAATTATACGGCCCGCTTTGTAAAATAAATAGAGACCGATGGCAACTATGTGTACATAGTGATATGCTTCACAAAAGTGTCGTACCCTCTTTCCAATCTAAAAAGTTTACATTTGAGCGAGGACGCATGTATTATATAACTAATGTTAGAGAAACCACGTATTACGGAAATGATCGAAACCTTATACTTTATGTACAATGAACATATATTATGTTCAGTATATTACATGTTCACAGATTATATGCGATGCTGCATATTTAAATTGAACAGCTATAAGCAGAAATAATAATACATATATAGGTTGCTAAAAATCACGGAATATTACAATAAAAATATGGAAATGAGGAAAAGATTATAAACATATTAAAATTGTTTTAAGAAATTAAAAGAAATAAGAGAATTAAATCTTCATAGATAGTAACGTAAATAACAAATACCTTATTTCAAGCTTAATGTTATTTAAATATTCTAATATAATCCTTCTAATATAGCCCTAATTAACATACTTAGTTTCTAGATGATGTGTTTTGTCTAATTAAAATGTAAAAAATATCTAATCATATTTTTGCTTAGAAAAGACTTTATCGACTTTAAATTTCCGTCGAATAATCCTTAGATGAAATTTGTATATGCTTCAGCATTCTATAGTTTATTAACAATTGTTTAATATATCAGAGGAGCGAAGATTTTTTGTAAAAATTAATGATATAATGAAAACAATAGTTAATTGCGATTAATATAATATATAATAAAATTATCCTTTTATTACAGTTGACGGGGGTTATGATAATATCGGTCGGTACGACGATCTATGCTGTTTATGAGAACTTTTCGCATTTTCTGGATACAAGCTATTTTTCACCAGCCACCGTCTTAATCGTGGTTGGAATACTCGTCTTCATAATTGCTTTTATGGGATGTTGCGGCGCACTCAGGGAAAGCACCTGTATGGTTCTTGTGGTAAGCAACAACCGAATATCGTATTTCTCTATCGTATTTTTCTTTCAAATATCCTCTTTCCGATATGCGTATTACATTTATGTACTTCTAGTTTGCATTCTTGCTGTCTGTTGTTTTGATAATGGAACTCGCCGCCGCTGTTGCTGCATATGCCTTGCAAGACGGTATCAAGGATCTTTTGGCTGAAAATATCAAGATGACGATGCATCAATACGAAAAGAACGAAGAAGCCAAGTTCGCAATTGATTTTATGCAATCTAGAGTAAGATAATTGATCGTTCTATGGATAAAAAAATCCATTCACATAATTGACATTAATCACACCCTACATAACATTGAATTGGAAATAACATAACGTTTTTGAGATATAATGATTATTTACAAGGAAAGAGATATTTTAAAAAATAATTGATTTTATTTTTTTCTTATTTTACAGTTACGTTGTTGCGGATATAACAGCTACCTGGATTGGAACTATATACCGTTTAATAATACGCATATAGATGTACCTGACTCTTGCTGCGCATATCTAGTGAATGAGCTTTCAGATCGCTGTTATGGGAAATTTCAGGACGGCTGTATCAGCCGCCTTTCTGTTATTGTTCACCGTAGTGCACTATACATCGGCACAGGAGCTGTAGCGATCGCCCTTATTCAGGTTAGATTAAGTTTTTTTTTCAACGTAATTCTAATCCCACTTCTCATACGTCAAAATTGATTTTAACGCGAAATCGCTGATACTATCAAGAAGTACCTGCAGGATAAACTATAATTCTGAAGAGTAATTTATCTAAATAAATGATAAATCTACATAATTGTTTCTCTCTTTTCAGTTAACGGGAATTATGTTCGCGTGTATGCTTGGCCGAGCTATCAGGCGTCAAAAGACAGAAAGAGAGAGGCGTCGTTGGGAATTACGAGAGAATCTAGTGAATGGTTACGAACCATTGGGAAAATCGGATCCCATAACTACGTTTCCCATAGTGTACATGGCGCCAGACTATCCACTGAAAGGCGATCAAAAATGTTAATATTTAATCAGGAATGTTAATATTTTGATGTAAAAATCGAATAACTGTATAAAACCGTATTTTTTTATGTTTCCCGGGTTTACAAAGAAATTTGCAAAAATTGAGTAATGAGAGAAATAGAGATACTATTTTTTTAACAAAATATAAAAGCTTGTGAGAATATTTATTCTTGGTTACGTTTACTTTTATGAACTCAGCGAATGACCGTCGGACAGCACAAAAGAAAAATAGTACTTACTACCAAATAATTATCTGATTTATAATATATAGTTTAATATATTTTCTTAGTAAAATTATGAACAGTCTGATTGTTTGCTTTAAATAATTTGCATTTTAATAATTAAATATTTTGACATTTAAATTCAAATTTTATATAATAAATAAATAATATAATATCTCATTAAGATTATTCACAAATATTGACAAAAAAGCATTATTTAAAGATATTATATACA